CTGCGGATATCCCTTGGACATTTCTTTCCAGTTTCACGGACATTCCCAGCCAAATTTGGATCTTCACTCCCGGACATCACTAACAATCACTTATTAACACGTTATTTCGTTATAATTGTCACAGGTATTTAAAAAAAAACAGAACTCGACGAGACTAGCACAGTGTCTGGTGTTATCTAAAACCGGCGCATGCGTCGATACAAGACTGAATTTGATAGGTTGAATAAACCTGTCAACAAGCAAGCTACTCTCTGATTGGTCAGACCTGTTAAATATTTAGGGTTGGAGGTTAATTGTTAGGTGTTGCTTTAGGAATGATAGTTACATTGGGACTTCCCGGCACTCCAACACATGAATTTGGGGGTGCTGTTAAGGTCCCAATTAAAACGAGCATCTCCACATTCACAGGCCTGGGAAAGAGTTCCTTTTGCACCCCACCACCAACACTAACGCTCACCCAAGGCCCCCCTCAACTCACTTGTAAATGCCCTTATAGAATAAGATAACTATAGGTGTCCTTAGAAGGGCATATGCAATGAATTTGGAAAGTGATGAAAGGTAGGGGTAGAGGTAGGGGTGGGTGCAAATGAAACTCTTTCCCAGACCTGTACACAAAGCTAAATACAATGTAGCTTTGTGTACAGGTATGTGAATGTAAAGGGATGCCAGTCAAGTTTCAATGTAAATACAAAATGTATCACTCCTTTAACAACCATGACATTAGGCAGGGCTAACCCCGTTACATTTCTGTTGTTCCAGCCGCTACAGAGAGACATGTACACGGGGCTATAGGCAGGGCTAGCTATGAGCGATGGTTTTGGTTTACTCCAGAACCCAGTCGTCAAGTACCAAGTGATACTGATACCGACAATGTCAATACAACCGGACACATTCAAACTAAATACGTGGAGATCACTTTTACCTTCCTTCTTCGTCAACCAAAGCTGGAATATTTCCCAATTTTCTCGCCTCTTCTAATTCCTTAGATTTCCTCCAATCTTCTCTCGTCATCTGTTTTGGTACATCGTCGCCAATAACATTTTTCTTTTCTTCTTTCGCTGCCTTGACCACGGCTGATGGCACCTTGTCGGCCGACCCCGCTATGTACGCCATTCTTTAGGTGGAATAAATAAAGTCGTACTGTGTGACCAGATAATATCAATAATTCTACAACAATAACAACGACGCAGCTCGGACCAACTTTCGCTAAACGACACACAGACGTCACAAAAAGTACGCCCTCAACATTTCGCTTTTTATCTAGTGGGGACGCTGTAATAAACGAAACGCCGCTGAATCCCGCTGAACATAGCCTACAATATGAAATACTGAAAAGACGTCAAATAGTACAAAAAATAGATGTAAATAAACAAAAATAGAAAAAATAAAAATTGACAAAATTAATTACGAAATTTACCAAAATTTGATTTTAGATTTAGAATTTCATAAGAACAATATTACCACCTTTTCGCAATATCACAATTTCAGACGGAGTACTCGTATTATTGGACGTTGAAGTTGGTTGCACCTATATAAAGAAGGTATAACGTTTTTAATGTGATGAAGTTAATATGAAATACAATTTAAAATAGAAAATATTAAACTATACTACTGTGCATTTCATGAAAGGTATGAATTTGTTTCATATAAATATTTATAAATGTTTATAAAATTCAAAATGGCGATTGAAAACCAATCACCACATGTTTAGGAAGCACGGCCATAAATCAATCAACGACAAAAGGTGAACAGCAAAGAATTATGGGTAATGAGTATTATCAAATGGCTTAAATCCGTGATAAATGTTTTAATATTATTATTCTTTTAAAACAAATTCCTTCATCGTGAAATGCACAGTACTGTGAAAGGCAGAAAGCTTTTTCTAGATATTTTTTTTTTCATAAATCAAAATTTTCATTTGTAACTTTTAACCTCCGCCAGGAGATTGTTATAAGTTAATAAATAAATAAGTTGTAAAATAAGATGTTATATTTCAACTTGACCAATCCAGAAATTGTATTGTAACAGCGCAATGACGCCATTAAAAAATGTTTCAATGTTATTCCACCTGTTAACTTAGAAACATGTCGTTCATTTTAAATTCTGAAATTCATAAATATTTATAAAAATGTTCATTTCACACTAATTTAATGTGGGGAACACTTTGAAGTGCAGTGATACTGTTTTCAATTTTCATTCTCCACCAGTCATTAAACATGTAACTATGGCAATATATATATATGGAAAATAAGATATAAGAGAACACGGTTGTGTACTTTTCGTGTTGATATTTGTTTAGGAGATTATGTAACAAGCGTACTCGTGATATTTTTTTCGCGGGATTGCTGTTTCGCGGTGTTCGTTTATTCCATGTTTTTGATTTTTTCTATGTTACTGACAAGATAATTTTTGAAATTAGGTCTTGGAATTTGTATGTGTCTCCTACTTCTGGAGATATAGACTGTCAAACTTTTTCAATTTTCTTTCATTGTCTACACATAAGCACACGTACGTGCCGACACGCGTTATGATACACCAATACTCCCCTAATTACTAAAGCTGACACGTGTCAATCGCGTCACGGATTAAAAATGTATCTGCGATCAATAATTAGTGTAAAGTGCTCTCACCAATAATTTGTTTCCGGCTTGGGTCCCAGTGAGGTATCCCTATTTCACGTATTACATCAATTGTAAATTCTACCTACTCGGGTTGTTTTTAAAATAATTACACCAATGAATAATCGCCATTTATAACTAACGACGTTAATGACGCATGCATTATAGTAAATCAAATAATTACGTTTTTTGGGAAAGATACTCAGATACTTTTGAAATGCCAATTTAATGTTTACCCGACTCAATCTAACGTTGAATATTTTTCCCGTCCCTCGGTTCGTTTTTAAGGTGGGAATACAGACACTTGTTTTTTGACTACTCTGTGCACAGTATATGTTGAAATTATGTAAACCTACAGATGAAAATAAAATGTAAGGTAAATGAGGATTTAGTTACGCGTCGGCTTGAGCTGAGATTGTAATCCAATAATAATTCAAAGCTCCAACCACGTGACTGATCAAATTTGACGGCGGCAGTATCTTCAAAGTCATCACTACTTGGTATTCCATTTGTTTGAAAAAGATCCTTCCAACCCGGGAATAAGTCACACCTCCACCACAATGAGCGAGTTTCGAGCTCCCCAGGCGTGTTCCCTGTTTTTTGTTATAATCAGTCGTTCATGGGTATACATACTTGTTTATTGTTCCCCGAGTAAAAATATTTTCTGAATTATATTTTGTCCAACTTCAATGTTTGTGTATAAAAGAAAAACACGTTAGTACATTTTACTAAATTGTTTTAAACTTACAAAGGTAACACGAAAGGCAACATACAGAATGCTCGAGCCAAAACTGATGAAAATGAAAATTTTCATCAATTTTTTTCATGATTTTTCGACTTCGTGCCAAATCTCGCACGAAAAGTACAACAAGTGGCGAGAATAGGCACAAGTAGAGTTGTGGACCCACATATCGCCCCTTCTCATGCATGGTAACTAGACAACCAGAGAATACAGAACCCACGTATTATTTATGACGTGCAAAGGTGTTGAACTGTAAACTGACCTTTGACCTTCTCATTTGTTGGATGTAACTTATTTGCTCCGAGAATAATATATGAAGTCTCCACTTCAGTCCCTCTTACTCTAACTAGTTAGTTTTATTTGTTCGGTGTGCGTCTTATTTGAACCATTCTTATACATTGCTAGTCGTACGAACATTAGCAAGTCAATCTACATTCCTTTTGGAGTAGTCGTTTCCAGAAAGTTGCATTGTTACTTTATCTGGATTTTCATTTAAGTTGTTAATTTTAAAATCATGTATAAAATAAAACATACTACTAATTTAATACGCAATTGTATTGTCATGATTTATTTCCATGTGTCTAGAGATCGGTCACTGATACGACGTAAAGTGAAGTTCTGGGCGACATCATTCAACACTTTCCCATAACCTGTCATCATTCAGGGTTTATACAAGGTACTGGGCGGAACTCTAGTCAGTGATTGGAACTAATTACGATATCAACTTTGCTGACGGATCGTTATTTCCGACAGTTTGGTATGTGTAGTTTCTTAATATAGTAGACAATTAATCATATATATACATTTAGTACTTCGTGTAATTGGCTACATGAGTGAGCGAGTGAAATGTGTGGAGGCCACGCCTCGAGCTCTTAAACTCCCATTTGATAGGTTAAAGTTTGGAGAAGTGAATAAAGCGAGTCTTAGTCAGTCGTGGGGAGGTCTCCAAGAGGCATAAAGTCTTGGCTGAGTTCCGGATGAGGCGGCGAGCCTTGAGGAGTCCCCACGTGGTGCCGAGACGAGAAGTTGTCACGAATTCCTTCTCTGTGTGTGTTTTGTTCGGTTGAAAAGGTGGCGAACGTAACGGTCCTGTGTACCTGGCGTAAGGTTTAAGTACACGATAATTCAGCCCTTATAGTATTGTATTGTCATTATTAAACTGTGACCTGAGCAGTCAATTGCTTTTACAATTATTGATATGTGTAAATGAGGAGGGTTGTAATAAAAGGCATACATTTACTGAAATGTTTGATGGTGTAACACGATTACAGAAATTCTAAAACTTTTACATTTAAATTAACATAATGTTATACTGTTTTGCGTTACACGTGACTTTATAATATTGTGGAATATGCATATAAATTTTTATGACGTAATACTCAAAGAAGCGGACACGAATCACGACGAGGGCGTTTTGCAACACCACATGACCACACTGCATCTTTATAAGTCCACAGTTTCTGTGATAAGTCGTAACAGACACGAATAATAACAAACTTCCCACATCTCAGTATCATGTTTCAATTCCCATATGCGAAGTGAGAACAATGTGAGCTCGTATGGGGTGTAAATGATGCGAATAAAAAGAAACAGCTCGATGCATGGCAATTTTCTATTTACAATGTATTTACATTGTGTTCATTTGTTGGCAATCGAAACACAGATCTCATTGCGCTGACATTGCTGTTCTAGAGATACTTGCTCTACAACACTACTCAGCTATGTTTGCATCTCCACTGTTATTGTATTTTGAATCCAAGCACGTGCGTACTAGATTTGCATACAATGTCCTATGTATTTTTTGGTATTTTTTCAATCAAATAAAATAGACCGCGGTAACCCGACTTTCGCCATTTACACACTCCCATAATATTTTTATTTTATTGAAAAACGCCTACAAAATAAAGAACAGACTAACGGTAAGCCGACTTTCGCCATTTACACACTCCCATAATATTTTTATTTGATTGAAAAACGCCTACAAAATAAAGAACAGACTAACGGTAACCCGACTTTCGCCATTTACACACTCCCATAATATTTTTATTTGATTGAAAAACGCCTACAAAATATAGAACAGACTAACGGTAAGCCGACTTTCGCCATTTACACACTCCCGTAATATTTTATTTGATTGAAAAAAACACCTAAAAATAAAGAAGAGACTAAAGGTAATCCGGCTTACGCCATTTACACTCCCCAATAATATTTTATTTGATTGATAAAAAACACCAAGAAATAAAGAAAAGACAATAGACTGGTTATACAAAGCACAATCGTAATCAAATACTGGACACCTTTATGGAAATATGTTAAACTACTTCGAAATCTACTTGTATTTTCTAATGACGTAATAATCAAACAAGCGGACGAATCACGACGAAAGACTTGTTGCTTACCGACGCCACAATATATCGAGTTATCGTTGTACACTATATTACGAAATTCGGTTAACAGATAAATTACCCAGAATTCATATCACCCACTGGACAACTCAAATAAAAACAGAAATATAAATAATGCGATACGGGTTTGTTACCAATCATACGCTGGTTAATCTCTGCATCCTTACGACGATCTGCATAGGACTCCGTTACAGAGAAACTAAGTCCGTACGCATCCCATAATCATGAGAAATTGCGTTAACTATTTTATTCTGACGATACTCGCACTACAATACTGTTCGGGTATGTTCCCATCTCTTATTTTATTTTCAGTTTTTATATTCAACTCATTGTCAGCACAGTGTGTCTTGAATTCAATCTTAATACGTACGTGTACGTACCGAAAAAGTCACCCAGTATCAGCTGCTCAATTGTATTATTATTTGCTATATTCACCATTTCACTGTCGAGTCAGGG